CCCCAAAACCCCAAAACCCCAAAACCCCTAATAAGATTTAATCATTTTAATCATAATAGCAGCATTATTGAAAATAAAATAAATAAATCACTTCTTCTTTTTACCTTTACTCTGAATTTGCTAGGATTTATCACCAGGGTTAATAATATTTATATCAGGAGCAGCAACGTAAGGATACATAATATGATTTTAAAACTCAAGATGGGTCTTAACATAGCACTCCATGCAATTAAGATCCATAAAAAATGTCAGTGTATTTTAGTTCTAAATGTAAGTTTTATCACAAGTAGCACAAGTGAATGCATAATTTATGCCTTTTAATTCATTTACCTTCACATTAACTGCTGCTACTGTAGCACAATCTTACACATTCTACTAATGCATAAATTAGTAATTAGTATATAGCTTTATGTTTCTCTTGCAAACAGGACAGGGACTATCAAAACTAAGTATTTTTTGCTTCAAACTAAGGAGCTTGCAAGTGATATTAAATTAGCCATTACACCCTAAACATTGGCAACTAAAAGTTATATTCTGCAAAAACATAGTCCCGATATTACTCATCTTTAATCCTAGTAATTAAATTGTTGCTCTTTTATAATTTTATAAGTTTCTAATTGCTTCTCTAATCTCCTCAGTCTCTAAATGGATGTCAGGTATTTCATCTTTAACTTGATTATCCTTCTCTTCTTCTTATTAAGGCTGAGGATCAGGGGTTTTATCTTTCTAGGCCATCTAGATAATTTGTTTTTTACATTATGCTGCTTTTCTAGTTTCAATAATGTCAGCTATCATTTCCCATTTAGAGTCATCTTTGATATTTTTGTATAGCCTCACTGAATGCTCTAATCTTTATTATTCAATATTCGACCACTTATTACCTTCATCTTCTTTAATCTCGTACAATTGAATTGAATGTTTTTGTATAGCTTTCTCTAAAAGTTAATGAGCACAAGTCTCAAAGATCTTAAGGAATCCTAAGAGCCATTCATCAATATCAGATTGTTTCAGTTTTACTAACAGTATTTATCTCAAATATACATTAACTTCTCTGTTTCTGATAATTATGATAGGAGTCTTTTCTTTTATCAAATACTTTCCCTTGAGTAATGAGATTTAAATATCAATGCAGTCCTATTCCAAGTATACGGGGTATACAGCAGATTTAATAGCATTTTGGAATTCTAATTTTGAGCACTTAGGAGTCACACATATTTGAAATGCAAGCATCTAAGCTTTACTAAGTTCAGAGGGATTAATCTACTTATTCAGCAAATTGAATGAAGATTAGTACCTTCTGATGATCTATAATATCTCCCTCGTCATCTTATCCTATTCATTTCTAACTGTCTTCTAATAGTCATTTTTGAAATATATAGATTCATTAGACTTGAAAGTTTCATGGGTTTCTAATGATTGTTTATTAGTGAAATAAGCAATTGAAATTTCGTCAGTCTAATTTATACTGCTAAAAATACTTCTGTCCATTTTAATAATTAATAAACACGCCTAAGTTTTTAACTTAATTCAAATTTATTATGATGGGGTTTTGGGGTTTTGGGG